AGTTATATTTAAGAACATTATTAGTCATAATCTTATAAACATAATAATAATAATAATAACTATGTCTGATTTATGATTTGTCATGCGTACAATAATTAAAAGTAACAAAAATATTTTTATCTATATTAAGTGAATTTTTTTAACAAAGAAACCAAAAAGAAAAATCAAACAAAAAAAAATTGATAAAATGATCAAAAATAGAATAATAACATAAAAATATAACTGAATCTACATTTATTTAAAAAAAAAAGATTATTAATGATAAATATCATAGTAGCAAACAATACTTACTATTGGAATAAAACTACACAGATAGCAATAATAGTAATAATAACAAAAATTACTACTGGTGAGAATACTATCAGATATATATAAAAATAGTCAACTACATAAATATATATCTAAATGGAAAATGTCATATTCTACTTGTGAAGCACAACTTTTACTATCAGAAAAAAAATTTTCTGTTGTAATCCTGTACTAAGGAACTTAATATCACTTTTATGCCCATTATCACTTTTTTTATATAATTTTTATGTATCTAATTCTAAAGAAAATTTTAGTCATCTTAGTTATCAGTACAATTTACTGTTTTCATTTACAACACTTGGTTATACAGGTGGTGTAGTTCACTTAAAACATCCTTATACTTTTGCTGTCAATGGCTAGACATATTACCAAATTCATTCTGTTAACATGACAGGATACCTAGTAAACTAGTTTGTTTTAATACTAATATATGAAATAATATCGCAATCAATGTAAACTTGATAAAAATAGTGTTAATTTAATTAAACAAGAGTTAGCTACTATTAATCTGTTTGCTCAAAGTTTATATCAATTACATGATACAAGTTATCCACAAGCTAGATTAGTAATTTAACAACCAACAGCAAATGTCAAAATTGTAGCATATGTAATTATTCATTTAACAGCAATAATACAAGAGAAATGTATTCAAATTTGGCATATTAATAAGAAAGAACCTGAATATATTAATATTCTTAATAAACACTATGAAGCACTACAATATTCACTTATTTTTCCTTATAGAGAAATTGGATAGCATATGTACTAGATAAATAATAAAAATTTTACTAAATATAAAATTTTACAAATTGATTATTATTATTACCAAATTATGACTGAACTTTATTTTTATCTACTTGGACGACTATTCAATAAGTATTTGGTAGACATGTTTAGTAAAGCAGAAGATGAATAATTACAATTTATCCATAAGGAACAATATAGATTTAGAAAAAGAGATCAAGAAGATGAATTGCTTAGTAGTGAAGCTGAAATACACCCTGAGGATATTTATTTACTGACTTCTTACACAATTATATTTAGATAGTTATACAAAAAACCCATAGATGCTCTTGCTATTGTAAGTAAACTTGGATGTTCAACACTATTCATTACCTTTAGAACGAAACCAAATTGGCCAGAAATCCCACAACAATTATGTGATGGGCAAAACTATGCAGACTGGCCTAATATTGTAGTCAGAGTATTTAAACAATGCTTAATATAATTACAAAAATTGCTTATTTGATAATCCGCCAGTCAACAGAAGAATAAACATAGTGTAACATGACACAAATCACTATGTAAATCCAATTTAGTGTGAATTTGAAAATTTTCTACTGTTTGTTCAAAGTAAACTTTTTTTTGTACTAAGTTAATCGATTCTGTAAATTAATTTAATTGTAAAGCTCATCCTTGTGGTTCTAATAGTGGTTAAATCATCCAAATCGGTCTAGTGGATGCTAAGATATCTTTAAAAAATACGTCAACGACTATATAAAATCTCTATATAAACAATATATTGTTAAATAGAGATTTTATATAGTCGTTGACACATTTTTTAAAGATATCTTAGCATCCACTAGACCAATTTGGATGATTTAACCACTATTAGAACTGCAAGGACGAGCTTTACAATTTCAATTAATTTACAGAATCAATTAACTTAGTACAAAAAAAAGTTTTCTTTGGATGAACAGTAGAAAATTTTCAAATTCACACTATATTGGATTTACATGATGATTTGTATCACATTACACTATGTTTATTCTTCTGTTAACTGGCAGATTATCAATTAAAATACATTTTGGTAAAATAATTTATTATATGCATGCTGTTGAATTTCAAAAGCATGGTTTACTACACACACATATAATAATTAAATCAATACTAAACCTAATTCAACCTGGAGATATTAATAAAGTAATAAGTACAGAAATACCTGTGGATGATAATATTCAACTTAATCGTCTTCATGAATTAGTAAACCAATTTATGATCTACCAATATACTCAAAGATTTATACGATATAACAAATGTCATTAGAATTATCCTCGACCAAGACAAGAAAATACTATAATTAACGAATTAGAATATGTTTATTATTGGCAACAAACTGAAAATGATATAAATGTTGTACTATATAATGCTCTTCTACTATTAAAATTAAATTCTTACATAAATGTAGAAATAGCTTCTACTTATCATGTAATTTCTTATCTATACAAATACATCTACAAAGGACCAGATCGGGCAATAGTCAACATTTATATGGAAGATGAACCTGAAATTATTGATGAAATCAATAACTATCTAAATACACATTATCTTTTTGCTATGGAAGCAGCATGGCAAATCTTTAAATACAAAATTATTTTACAGTTACCATCAGTAATATGTTTACTTGTTCATTTACTAAATGAATAGATTATTATATATAGCAAATAACTACAATAATCTATCAATGTTATAATGATATTTTCTTTGACCTGAAAACTCAAAATTTAAAAACCTCAAGTACTGTGAATATAATGAACTATATTATTCAAATATATTGAACAATCATATAACCAAAGTTTATTATCTCTAAACACTTATTTGGAAAAAAAATTGAAGAATATTGTCAATGAATTGTACAACCATATAAACAAAACTATATATATATATATAATACGAATGAATATAATTTATTCATCAGTAGATAAAAAATATTATCTATATATGCTTTTGAACTATTGTGCAGCATGATTTTTTAAAGATTTACAAAAGTAAATAGAATTTTATATTCTACATTTCAAGATACTGTATGTGCTTTAGGTTTACTAAAAAATATAACAGAATATGAACAATGCTTTAATAAAGCCATATCTTATAACTGTACTCCAGAACAACTCTGCCTGTTATTTTCCAACTTATTATAGAAGGCATGGCAGCTCAAACGATATGGCAAAATCATCATAAACTATTATCTACTAATTATATAGCTAAAAAGAGAAATATGCAAGAAGAAAAAAATAAAGCTCTAATGTGGATTACCAATTTTTTAGAAGAGCATGATATCAAAATAATACAAACAGGCTTGCCACAACCATCAAATCATTTATCAGAAATAATACGCATTAAGACACAATATAGTAACTATAAAGAACTAACTACAAAAGGAGAAGAAATGATTTGCAAATTAAATTTGGAACAAAAAATAATATATTAAAAAATCATATATTATATAAATAAAAATATACCCTTAACAATTTTTATTAACAGTCGTGCAGGCCATAGTAAAACATTTTTAGTAAATGTTATTTGTATTATAGTGAGAAGTTTAAAAAAAATTATACTTCTCCGTGCATCAACTGAATTAGCTATACTAAATTATGATGGAGGTTGAACAGCACATTTATTATTTAATATTCTGGTAGAATCTAGTGAAGAATGTTATAAATATCAAATAAAATCAAATAGTAAACGTGCAAAACTAATTCAAGAAGCATCAGCAATAACTTAGGATGAATTAACTATGGTACAAAAAGGCAATATTGAAGCAGTAGATATACTTTTATATGAACTTTGTGATGATAACTTACCATTTGGCAGAAAGATTTTTATTGGAATAAAGATTTTTGTCAAGTTGTACCTGTAGTACCAAATACTAGAAAAATAGCTACAATATTAAAATCAATCAAATTATCTACAATATGAAACTCATTTAAAGTGTTTAATCTTCAACAACTGATTCGAGATACAAATAATCCTGAATACTCTAAGTTTATAGATAACATAGATAATGGTATAAATAGTGAAAATATAACTTTACCTTTATTAGACAAAACATATGAATTAGATAAAGCTATCAATTTTGTTTTTTCACCAAACATATTAAACAATCCAATTACATGCCTACAATATGCTATACTCTCTACATTAAATGTAGAAGTAAATTCTATAAACAATACTATATTACAATGATTAGATGGCGATACTTTCAGTTTATATAATACTGACAATCTAGCAGATGATAATACCAACAGTACTATATATCAAAATTAAAATATTCAAAGAAATATGATAAATGTTGAACTATTAAACTCACTCAATTCATCTGGAGTACCTATATTAGTGTTATTAACTGGAAACTACTGGAAGACAACTGGAACTCTACTGAAAGAAAATTAATAGTACTACTAGAACTTTTACTATTACAAATTTCCACTGGAAGGCTGAGAATTACTACTGAAAGCAAAAATTAACAACACTGATCTATATACTGTCTTAAGTCAAAACATGGTTGTATTGCAACAATAATCCAAAATCTTTCGATACATAATAGCTTATATAAAAATACCAGAGTTATAATATTAAATATTGGTCACCGATTAATTACTATACAAAATCCAGTAACACATTCTATTGCATATATATCTCAAATAAACTTTATATTTCGAATTTTGAATTTTCTTTTTAAAATTAACAACTGCCAGTTTCCTTTACATCTTGCATATTCTTTAATATTCAATTCTTCACAAGAACTAATATTAAACAAAATAGTACTTAACTTATATACTCCAGTATTCAGTCATGGCCAACTTTATACAGCACTCACACGAGTATATCAAAGAGATCACACACTAATACTTACTGAAAAAGACAATTTATCAACCCTATTTACTACTAAAAATATTGTATACCAAGAATTACTTGAAAAACAATTAAAAACTAAACATAGATTATTCAACTATTTATCATTTATAATGTATTAAATAAAAAAAAACTTCTAAATTGCACATAAACACTCATTAACCAAAACTATATATTCTTTAACTGCTTTAATAATAATAATATATATAAAAAAATATTATGTACAATACAAAAATATCAAATAATAATAATAATAATAATAATAATAATAATAATAATAATAATAATAATAATAATAATAAATAAACATATTCATTTTTTTCAAAAGCAATATTAGAATCACTAGATTTCAGACTATTACAAGTAGAATGACCCACACCACTTCGTCCCTTCTTACTATTATATATAACACTCTTTTTACCTTTATCTTTTTTAGATATATCTTCCATCTTATCATTTCTAACATCTTTACTATCAAAAAACTCATCTGAATAAAAATGATGAGAATTAGTATTATCAAAAATTTTATTAGATTCCTTAATCTTTATGCATTTTAAAGAAAAATTCTTATCTGCCACAAAAAAACCGCATTGAGTATTACTAGCGATGTTACTTGAAACAATAGAATGAGAACCTTCAGTATCAGAAATACTCTTTGAATCTTTAATAATAGTATGATAAGTAGAAAGAAGCTTTGTCTGAGTTGAATTAGTACCTTTAGCCAAATTATTCAAATTGGCATTATCGATACTTGACTTAGAAAGAAACCGTATATTAATATAATTAATCTCTTTTGTACAAACAAAAAATTATTAGCAATAACTTCCATCTGCCCAATGATGAAAACAAGTGAACTTTGTAGCCAGATTGTATATTTCAGATTAATGAACCACAGATTAAGATGTGAAAAAACAATCTTAACAAGAAAACTAACTTCTTAACTAATATAATCATTAACCAATACTTTAAAAATAGCATTATCATCATTCCTTAATGTCTGAAGTGACTCTTGAGAAACTTCTACCAGAAAAACCCTTAACAGACACTTATTCAAACCTTTAGCCTTACTGAGAATACTTATACTAGTCGAAATAGAAACTGTTATCTAAAAATAACAAAAAAAAATAAATCCAGATAACAAAAAAAAACCAAACCTAATTAAAACTAATACCTTCAGTCTTTTGATACTATTATAATACCCAGGTACAATCTTACTACCAACAGAATAAAAACGATCTCTTTCAAAAAGTGCTTGAGTCTCTATAACAGAATTAATGGGTAAAAACAAAACCAATTTGATTTCACTCTCTTTATGATCAACTAGATAAGTCCCAATAGCCCACAAAACTCTATGATTATTTTCAATCTTCTCTCTCTGATAAACGTACTTAATCCTAACAATAGTATCTGTATAATATAGTATAATAAAACTTAACATATGTATAAAAATTTCAATTTATCAAAACAACAATCAAAACAAATGCTACTTATAAAGAAAAAAAAATATTGTAATAAAAAATCACTATAAATGATAAATTAATAATAAAATAATAAAATAAACTGATACAAAAAAAAAAACAATGACACAAATATATCAGAAATTCTTCACCAAATGTAGTTACAATTCAAAAACTCTCTATATACATATATTATTCCCTAATACTCAATTCCCATGAAAAAAAATAAAAATAAAAATATATCAAAATGACTACTATACTAACTTAATCAAATGTATAAGTACCACCAAGAAAGCCTAACATCAAACCTGAACCATATATTGTATCTATTACCTGTTAATTAAAAATCA